CTGACACCTCGAGTAACACTAGCAAAACTAACGCGCTTCTCACACCCGAATAGTTCACCACTTTCTTTAAAAAAAGTTATTGCCATTCACATTCTAAGCTAAAATAGAGAATTATAAATGTTGATCTGCTAGCCACAGCTGATGATAGTGATAGTACAAGGTGAACCTTCATTCAAGTGATCACATTGTGAAGGTGTTTGATATTAAATTTTGGTTGAAACAGTATTGGAATATAAGAATCCAGCTTGCAGTGCGGCCCACAATGTAGCCTACAGTACGGTCCACAATGTAGCCTACAGTACGGTCCACAATGTAGCCTACAGTGCGGTCCACAATGTAGCCTACAGTGCGGCCTACAATGTAGTCTACAGTGCGGCCTACAATGTAGCCTACAGTGCGGTCCACAATGTAGCCTACAGTGCGGCCCACAATGTAGCCTACAGTGCGGCCTACAATGTAGTCTACAGTACGGTCCACAATGTAGCCTACAGTGCGGCCCACAATAGAGCCTACAGTGCGGCCTACAATGTAGCCTACAGTACGGTCCACAATGTGGCCTACAGTGCCACCCACAATGTAACCTACAGTGCCGCCTACAATGTTGTCTATAGTCCCGCCCACAGTGTGGTCTACAGCGCCGCCTACAGTGTGGCTTACAGTGCCAATCTTTGCTGTTTATAGCTCTACCCACAACGCGCCTACAAGCCACAGTTTTCGAAGTGCAAAGATTGTACTTGTCACCTCCAAAACCTTCATAAATATCTTACACTCCAACAATACGCAAAGTCGCCAAATCCCCTCGTTTCCACTCCAATTTAAAAAGTTTACACAAACACACACGCGATTGTTGAATACTCAAGCCATGACGTCTCCAACTGCCCTCCTATCCTCCTTCCAACCTTCCTGGGACCTTCATAACGTCTCCAACCTCCCTCCTATCCTCCTTCCAACCTTCCTGGGACCTTCATAACGTCTCCAACCTCCCTCCTATCCTCCTTCTAACCTTCTGACCTCATAGTCTCCACCTCCTCCTATCCTCCTTCTAACCTTCCTGGGACCTTCATAACGTCTCCAACCTCCCTTCTATCCTCCTTCTAACCTTCCTGGGACCTTCATGACGTCTCCAACCTCCCTATCCTCCTTCTAACCTTCCTGGGACCTTAACTACACCTCTTTCACTCACAGATTTACACACCGTCTTCTTCAGCCTGTTCTCTTATTTTTGCTACGTGAAGAAACTATTTCAGCATTAGTCATTCTGTTCCTTGGCTTATATTCTTCATATCATCCATCATGCTGCAAATCACTGAACGTCGGGTAGAAAACAGTGGCAGACAAGCCCTACAACTAGCCGGCCAGCACTCCCAGTATGCTAAAAATGCATCCAGTTAAATTAATCTATTAGGCCGGTATTCTAGCTTTATCACTGGCTTAGTTGAGTTTCCGTTCATCAAGTCACTATAATGTTAACTAATACAAAATCGACACAATTTTACTGCATCCATTGACACACTTCATTCTTCCCACAAGCTCCTCGACGCTCAGGCTAGTTAATTTCCATCACTCATTGTATGGTTTACCTCATCTTTCTTCTAGCCACATGCTGACAAGTCTCCCAAATATCTAAATACATTTACATCTCCTAAATTCCCTACCAATCTGCCATTATCAATTTTTCATTCCCTATACATAAACTTATTCTCGTTCAACTGATGTTTTATGTGCTTAATTCTTCACTGATAGAGATGGAAGGAGCAAGCTAGGAAACAGACGCAAAACAAGGAAAACATCATGCAAAACAGGTAGAAGACTAAGAGTACAATATAAAACTTTAAAAAAACATTTTTTTACAAGCTTCGTTTGCAAACCATGTAGGAAATTTATGTGTGTACTCTACCTATTTGACTCACATTTGATGGTTGCAGGGGTCGAGGCTAGCTCCAGGACCCGCCACTTCACCGGTGTGACAGGCCACTCCCCCCGCAACAGGAGCTTATCAAACAGCTAAAACTGTGTATGGTTCCTGCCTCCACTAGATTTCTAGCTTCCACTGCCTTAAACTCAGATGAAGAAAACTTCTATATCCTGACTCATTTGTGTCTTACTTCCAATTGGGCCTCTTTTTTGTCCCCATCTTGGAAACATCTGTCTTGTCACTTGTGTTGTGTGTGTGTGTGTGTGTGTGTGTGTGTGTGTGTGTGTGTGTGCGTGTGTGTGTGTACTTATTTGTGGTTGCAGGGGTCGAGACTCGCTTCCTGACGTGTGTGTGTGTAATAACTTACTGTATGTACAGAAACAGGGTTATGCTCTTGGTGTCCTTTCTTAGATAATCTGTTCATATTTCTTGAAAGTCTGGAATGGTTGTGGCCTTCACGACCTCTCTCTTAACATTCACTTGGTCAATCAATCTGTGTGCTCAATCATGCAGCACCAGCTGAACACAAAACACCAGCATGTATTCTATCACACGCCAGATAAATACCGAAATGATTGTATTGTATGATTGATGGGTGAGTAATCGGATTGCATTGTATACGAGAGGTGACTCCACCGACCACCTATGTACACATTACTACAAACACAAATATTCATTTCCACAACACAAATGTCAACAGAGCGGCATTTTTCCATTTGTTTCTTGTACAGAACATGTAGGGAACATGCATGTGATCTCTGGCGACGTCGACAAGGTGGAAGAACTAACAATAGAGACTGAAGAAAAATTCCTTTAGTCTGAAAGGAACCCAGACATTTCTGAGATCGTTTCTTTCATAGGAAGGGCATTCTCTCGTGCTTTTTTATGCCCAACTCGTGTAGTGAAGCGCATATAAGCTCTTATGACGAGGTAAGAGAGCACAAATAGTCTCAGAAGGATTTATCTTTTTAGCTCAAGTAAAACGTAGATTACAAAGAATATTTTACCCGATATTTCTTTTTTTTTACGGAAAAAAATCATTTTTTTATGTCCAATTTATGAAAGAAGAGATAACGAAACAATATTAAGAATAATTTCCGGAAGAAATTCCTCAGTTCAAGATAAACCTGAACTGCTGACGGAATCATTTTTTTTCCACGTGTGCTCCCAGGATTTCGTATTTTGTGAGGCGGTAAACCCAAGTGAGTCATTCAGTGTTCTCCCAGGAGAGCAGTGCCATCTGATCCTCATGACCACCAGCTGTTTGGTAGCTCATGGAACCTCTGGTAGCAGCTACGACAAGGAAAGTCAAAGATACATTTTAGGGAAAGCTGATTCAAACATTCACTCTTTCTTCCATTCATAACACCACAGACACTCACTTGAAGACCTAAATGAAACTAGACAAAGATCGGGTTGTATATCTCGCCTTCCGACAGGACCTCTTAAGCACAAGTAGGAAAAAAACAGCCCTGTATTTATTTACTGGTTCATTTATGCCTGAAAATAAGTATTTCTGTTTCCATAGACGTGTGGTTAAAGATTTGCATGAATGATTATTGCACAGACGTAGAACAATGAAATGAACGTTCAGCTAAGAGATTCTAGCATCAGCTGTGCACAAGAACGCGAAATGAGAGACAGAGAGAGAGAGAGAGAGAGAGAGAGACGGGGGGGGGGGTTGCAGACAGGGGGGGTAATCCAACCTCCTCACTCCACTCGGCAGGTGACACTGGATTTTTTCGGGCATGAAATTCATCACAGAAAGACACGCGTGTCGCTCAGTGGGATATATATATATATATATATATATATATATATATATATATATTATATATATATATAAATAATATATAATATATGTGTGTGTGCGGTGTGTGTGTGTGTGTGTACTCGCCTAGTTGAAGTTGCAGGGGTCGAGTCCTAGCCCCTGGCCCCGCCTCTTCACTGGTCGCTACTGGATCACTCTCCCTGAACCGTGAGCTTTATCATACCTCTGCTTAAAGCTGTGTATGGATCCTGCCTCCACTACATCGCTTCCCAAACTATTCCACTTCCTGACAACTCTGTGACTGAAGAAATACTTCTTAACATCCCTGTGATTCATCTGTGTCTTCAACATCCAACTGTGTCCCCTTGTTGCTGTGTCCCATCTCTGGAACATTCTGTCTTTGTCCACCTTGTCAATTCCTCTCAGTATTTTGTATGTCGTTATCATGTCCCCCCTATCTCTCCTGTCCTCCAGTGTCGTCAGGTTGATTTCCTTTAACCTCTCCTCGTAGGACATACCTCTTAGCTCTGGGACTAGTCTTGTTGCAAACCTTTGCACTTTCTCTAGTTTCTTTACATGCTTGGCTAGGTGTGGGTTCCAAACTGGTGCCGCATACTCCAATATGGGCCTAACGTACACGGTGTACAGGGTCCTGAATGATTCCTTATTAAGATGTCGGAATGCTGTTCTGAGGTTTGCTAGGCGCCCATATGCTGCAGCAGTTATTTGGTTGATGTGCGCTTCAGGAGATGTGCCTGGTGTTATACTCACCCCAAGATCTTTTTCCTTGAGTGAGGTTTGTAGTCTTTCGCCCCCTAGACTGTACTCCGTCTGCGGTCTTCTTTGCCCTTCCCCAATCTTCATGACTTTGCACTTGGTGGGGTTGAACTCCAGGAGCCAATTGCTGGACCAGGTCTGCAGCCTGACCAGATCCCTTTGTAGTTCTGCCTGGTCTTCGATCGAGTGAATTCTTCTCATTAACTTCACTTCATCTGCAAACAGGGACACTTCGGAGTCTATTCCTTCCGTCATGTCGTTCACAAATACCAGAAACAGCACTGGTCCTAGGACCCCTGTGTGTGTGTGTGTGTGTGTGTGTGTGTGTGTGTGTGTGTGTGTGTGTGTGTGTGCAAATACACACACACACACGCAAAAAAACGCATATGGATCAAACTGGAATACAGCGCTAAACGAACAGTAAGATGATAGATTTAGCAGCAGGTGGCATCAGGTAGCATCAGGTAGCATCCGGTCGCCTCAGGTAGCACGGAGGTGAACAAGAACAGGTAACTGACGATGATAACTCACCTGTGATCAGTAGCGTGTGAAGGTGCGCTCTCCAGCGGTCCTCTCACCCAGGTACCAAACTCTGAGGAGGAAGACAGGTTGTGTTAAGGTCAGTCTCCAACTGAACCTCAATGAAATAGAAACGTACTAAAAACATACACACAATGAATTATAAATTCTCAAATATATTTTCACCATGGGAAGGATCAAGAGATATTATCTTAATCATATGTGTATTTGGTTCCTGACTCTGGACAGTCGTCTGAGGTGTATCAGTACAAGTTTATAATGTTTCAGTACATCAGTGAGACAACGAGACACATTACGCTCCAGTTCAGGAATATTTACATAAAACATTTACGTCATGGTTGTCGTTGACCAAAACCATCGCTTTCAACCATCAAACAACCCGTCTGAGTGAGACTACCTCAAGAAAACAACCACTATGAGTCTGTACCAGGAACTCCACAGCAGTCATGGAGACGAGAGTAGCAGAGGCGGCGCTTTACCCACCACATTAAACTCTCTATTCTCACACCTGAGACTCACTCACAATTTCTATCTTCTCAGGGTAATATAAATTTTTATTATATCCTCAACCTGATGAAAAAAAAAAAGATTTTCTCCAAATTTAATTGTTCATAATGCTGTACCTGGTGTATATATATATATATATATAATATATATATATATATATATATATATATATATATATATATATATATATATATATATATATATATATATATATATACACATGATCTTTGATATGAAATTTCATCATTTCTCCTCTTCCTCTTCCCGTTCTCACTTCTCCCTCCCACTTTATGTATCATATTTCTTAATCTTTCCCGTAAATTTCTCCTGAATCTTGCATTTCCATTTCCATTTAAATGTAAACCATCTGCTGTGGGAGAGAGAGAGAGAGAGAGAGAGGAGAGAGAGAGAGAGAGAAAGAGAGAAGAGAGATGGGAATGGAGGGAGAGAAAGAGGAAAGAGAGAGAGAGAAAGAGGAAAGAGAGAGAGAAAGAGCAAATATTAAATTTTTCATAAAAAATGTTTGCAAAAGTTGATTAAAAATAACCAATATTTAATTACTGTAATTCTAAGGTAATCGGATAATGATAATTGATATTCGTGTTTGACCATAAGTTATTAATGGAGGAAATATATATACCTGATGACGGTACTGTCTCACGGCAGTGAAACAGCTGGTACAATGATGGTACTGTCTCACGGCAGTGAAACAGCTGGTACAATGATGGTACTGTCTCACAGCAGTGAAACAGCTGGTACAATGATGGTACTGTCTCACACCACTGAAGCAGCTGGTACAATAACGGTACTGTCTCACACCAGTGAAACAGCTGGTACAATAACGGTACTGTCTCACACCAGTGAAACAGCTGGTACAATGACGGTACTGTCTCACACCAGTGAAACAGCTGGTACAATAACGGTACTGTCTCACACCAGTGAAAAAAGCTGGTACATGACGAAACTGTCTCACACCAGTGAAGCAGCTGGTACAATGACGGTACTGTCTCACACCAGTGAAGCAGCTGGTACAATGACGGTACTGTCTCACACAAGTGAAACAGCTGGTACAATGTCGGTACTGTCTCACACCAGTGAAACAGCTGGTACAATGACGGTATTGTCGCACAGCAGTGAAACAGCTGTACAATGACGGTACTGTCTCACACCAGTGAACAGCTGGTACAATGACGGTACTGTCTCACAGCAGTGAAACAGCTAGTACAATGACGGTACTGTCTCACAGCAGTGAAACAGCTAGTACAATGACGGTACTGTCTCACAGCAGTGAAACAGCTAGTACAATGACGGTACTGTCTCACACCAGTGAAGCAGCTGGTACAATGACGGTACTGTCTCACACAAGTGAAACAGCTGGTACAATGTCGGTACTGTCTCACACCAGTGAAACAGCTGGTACAATGACGGTATTGTCGCACACCAGTGAAACAGCTGGTACAATGACGGTAGTGTCTCACAGCAGTGAAACAGCTGGTACAATGACGGTACTGTCTCACAGCAGTTGAAACAGCTAGTACAATGACGGTACTGTCTCACACCAGTGAAACAGCTGGTACAATGACGGTAGTGTCTCACAGCAGTGAAACAGCTGGTACAATGACGGTACTGTCTCACAGCAGTGAAACAGCTAGTACAATGACGGTACTGTCTCACACCAGTGAAACAGCTGGTACAATGATGGTACTGTCTCACACCAGTGAAACAGCTGGTACAATGATGATTCTGTCTCACAAACCCGTGAAACAGCTGGGACAATGATGGTACTGTCACACACCAGTGAAACAGCTGGTGCAATGATGGTACTGTCTCACACCAGTGAAACAGCTGGTACAATGACGGTACTGTCTCACACCAGTGAAACAGCTGGTACAATGACGGAACTGTCTCACACCAGTGAAGCAGCTGGTACAATGACGGTACTGTCTCACACCAGTGAAGCAGCTGGTACAATGACGGTACTGTCTCACACAAGTGAAACAGCTGGTACAATGTCGGTACTGTCTCACACCAGTGAAACAGCTGGTACAATGACGGTATTGTCGCACAGCAGTGAAACAGCTGGTACAATGACGGTACTGTCTCACACCAGTGAAACAGCTGGTACAATGACGGTACTGTCTCACAGCAGTGAAACAGCTAGTACAATGACGGTACTGTCTCACAGCAGTGAAACAGCTAGTACAATGACGGTACTGTCTCACAGCAGTGAAACAGCTAGTACAATGACGGTACTGTCTCACACCAGTGAAGCAGCTGGTACAATGACGGTACTGTCTCACACAAGTGAAACAGCTGGTACAATGTCGGTACTGTCTCACACCAGTGAAACAGCTGGTACAATGACGGTAATTGTCGCACACCAGTGAAAACAGCTGGTACAATGACGGTAGTGTCTCACAGCAGTGAAACAGCTGGTACAATGACGGTACTGTCTCACAGCAGTGAAACAGCTAGTACAATGACGGTACTGTCTCACACCAGTGAAACAGCTGGTACAATGACGGTAGTGTCTCACAGCAGTGAAACAGCTGGTACAATGACGGTACTGTCTCACAGCAGTGAAACAGCTAGTACAATGACGGTACTGTCTCACACCAGTGAAACAGCTGGTACAATGATGGTACTGTCTCACACCAGTGAAACAGCTGGTACAATGATGATTCTGTCTCACACCAGTGAAACAGCTGGTACAATGATGGTACTGTCTCACACCAGTGAAACAGCTGGTGCAATGATGGTACTGTCTCACACCAGTGAAACAGCTGGTACAATGACGGTACTGTCTCACACCAGTGAAACAGCTGGTACAATGACGGTACTGTCTCACACCAGTGAAACAGCTGGTACAATGACGGTACTGTCTCACAGCAGTGAAACAGCTGGTACAATGATGGTACTGTCTCACACCAGTGAAACAGCTGGTACAATGACGGTACTGTCTCACAACAGTGAAACAGCTGGTACAATGACGGTATTGTCTCAGCAGTGAAACAGCTGGTACAATGACGGTACAGTCTCACACAAGTGAAACAGCTGGTACAATGACGGTACTGTCTCACACAAGTGAAACAGCTGGTACAATGTCGGTACTGTCTCACACAAGTGAAACAGCTGGTACAATGACGGTACTGTCTCACAGCAGTGAAACAGCTGGTACAATGACGGTACTGTCTCACAGCAGTGAAACAGCTGGTACAATGACGGTACTGTCTCACAGCAGTGAAACAGCTGGTACAATGACGGTACTGTCTCACAGCAGTGAAACAGCTGGTACAATGACGGTACTGTCTCCCAGCAGTGAAACAGCTGGTACAATGATGGTACTGTCTCACACCAGTGAAACAGCTGGTACAATGATGGTACTGTCTCACACCAGTGAAACAGCTGGTACAATGATGATACTGTCTCACTCCAGTGAAACAGCTGGTACAATGATGGTACTGTCTCACACCAGTGAAACAGCTGGTGCAACGATGGTACTGTCTCACACCAGTGAAACAGCTGGTACAATGACGGTACTGTCTCACAGCAATGAAACAGCTGGTACAATGACGGTACTGTCTCACACCAGTGAAATAGCTGGTACAATGACGGTACTGTCTCACAGCAGTGAAACAGCTGGTACAATGACGGTACTGTCTCACACCAGTGAAACAGCTGGTACAATGACGGTACTGTCTCACAGCAGTGAAACAGCTGGTACAATGACGGTACTGTCTCACACCAGTGAAACAGCTGGTACAATGACGGTACTGTCTCACAGCAGTGAAACAGCTGGTACAATGACGGTACTGTCTCACACCAGTGAAACAGCTGGTACAATGACGGTACTGTCTCACAGCAGTGAAACAGCTGGTACAATGACGGTACTGTCTCACACCAGTGAAACAGCTGGTACAATGACGGTACTGTCTCACAGCAGTGAAACAGCTGGTACAATGACGGTACTGTCTCACACCAGTGAAACAGCTGGTACAATGACGGTACTGTCTCACACCAGTGAAACAGCTGGTACAATGAAACTGTTGATACAGGCAAACTATTAACAGAGAAACAGTCAACAGTGTTAAACTGTTTTATACACAAGCTTTGAACAATGATAGGATTTCAATATTTTAACAAAGGTGTTTCTCTCTCTCTCTCTCTCTCTCTCTCTCTCTCTCTCTCATTCGAGCGAGCGAGAGAGAGAGAGAGCAATAACTTGTTCAGATACTTGTGGCTCGTTCTATGAAAAGTTTACCGCATTTTATTACAAGTTGTCACTGTGATTATATTTACAGTGACCATCACTGTGAATATATTTACAGTGACCATCACTGTGAATATATTTACAGTGACCATCACTGTAATTATATTTACAGTGACCATCACTGTGAATATATTTACAGTGACCATCACTGTGATTATATTTACAGTGACCATCACTGTGATTATATTTACAGTGACCATCACTGTGATTATATTTACAGTGACCATCACTGTGAATATATTTACAGTGACCATCACTGTGATTATATTTACAGT